CCTCTCAGGACATGGCCGCACTGCGTGCACACTGGAGACTCAAAGACGGGGGATACAAGGCACGCAATCTCGTCCATGAAAATTCGCGCCGCGGCAATGCCGTGCTGTTGATCAAGCTTGACCACACGTTTTTTCGTGCGCGTCCGAGCAGGTTTTTGACGATTAGGAGGGCAGGCGGCAGGCGCAGCCGGTACTGAAGTCGGCATGTTCTCATGGTTGTGCCGGAGATGAGACTTGAGGGTGTTTGCGCGTTGATGGTGGTAGAGGCATCCGTCGACAGGGCAATGAAGGTACCCGTCCTCGTTTCGGTGTTGGATAATCACTTGTCCGTTTAATGTGATTCGCGTGCTTTTTTGATGGACCTATGTGCCGAACAGTGAGACGTGTCGCGTTTTTTTTGTGTGTTTTTCTGTCTGTGTGTGCTTTTTTTGGCGACGTGATAAAGCGACCTCAGGAACAACGTACCCGAGAAACGTGTTGCTCTCGTGCCAGACGATTAGGAAATGCACGCTCGCAATGACAGCACAACACTTCTTGGTTCTGTGCCATGCTGCGTTGGTGTAAGGAGCAGAGGGTGGCGAGGACTGCAAGAGGGCAAGGCGCGGCAAGAGCAGATAGCTCAGGTTCAAAAATGAATCTTGGTGCTGTCTCAGAGGGTGAAATTTTTGTTACACTTTGGTTTTCTTTTAAATGTGGAAGGTGTAACGGTCATGTTCTGGACGTTGTGAGTGAGTGTAATGTTGCTTGTCAATTAACAGTGTACACGGTTCAATACCTCACAGCCATCGTCATCATACCGCCCATGCATGATGACAATACAACGTTAGGGTCTTTTCTTTGAGCTCACTCTCACACCACAACTCTACATTCCTGAATAGCGTTAGGTTTCAAAGTGACGTGGTTGAACATTTTCCCGCCAAAAAAAAAAAAAAAAAAAATCAGCGGCATGGCATCCGCCGTGTCAACGACCAGACCCAGGCTCGAGGCGAGCTTTCAGGCGCCCAAGAGCACCCAGGTGTTTGAATGTAACACCGATAAAAATGTCCATGTGCGCGTATGCCAACGCATGGGGCCCACCTCTTTGCCTGCCGGGCAAAGGGCGGTGGGTGTGATGAGCATCAAGACGCAAAGCGTGTGGTACGTACGATGCAAAAGATGAACAGAACGTTGAACGGCGGTGGTGGCAAATGCACTCTTGTGTATGCGCGCGCGTTCGTGTTTGGCGGGAAACACAGTGAGATGAATGCACGATCATGTCCGTGTGTAAGTGCGTGAGAGTGTGTGAGTGTGTGTGAGTGTGTGTGGGTGTGTGAGTGTGTGAGTGTGTGAATGAGCATGTGCGAGACGAGCATGAATGTGCAAATGCTGGCTTGGGGGGGGTGGTGCGGGGCGCGTGCTGTGGTGTGGCTGCATTCATCGATTCGGCAGACGTGGTGATTTTGCTTGGTGGACGTTGTGTGCGTGTGTTTGATGCGATGTTTGGCTGCATTTGCACAAGTGGTGTGTATGCCTGGGGTCGTGATTGTGGTGTGCGGCTGCATTGATCGATTGAGCAGGCAGGAGGAAACGAGCTGAATGCACAATTGCAGTGTGTGTGTATTGAAAGTGTTGTACCACGGGTTGCTGCATTTATCACAAGGGCAGGCAGGC